ATTGTGAACACTTATGCACTGTTGTCTTGCTTTCAGATTACTGCTAACCAGAAATCCTAAATACTTTTCGTAATCAGTAACATTAAGATCTACATTATTTAGTTTATATGTGGCATGGTTATTGTCCTGTCCCTCGTGCATCCCGCTCTGTGTTTTTGGCACAATATCGTCTAATCAAGAACACCTACCAGGATTATCATCAACAGGCTGGTGTGTGAACATCTGCTGCTCGTGTTGGAAAGGGCCAGAAGACTCTGCGTTTCGTCTCTTCCTTCAGAATCAAGAAAAGTGTTGTGTATGTGAATTCAGTGAGGGAACATAACGGTCACCATGGGTAGGTGAGGTCAGTTAGGGAAGGTCTCATGGAGGAGGAGGAGGCGGTTGTTGAGGGGTAAGACTGTGTCTTCCCCTTCCCCAAACAGGCGCGCATGCACCATGTGCTCGTGTTACAACAATAATAATAATAATAATAATAATAATAATAATAATAATAATAATAATAATAATAATATCTTTATTTACTACAAGTACATGTACAAGGTATACAGTCCTAGCTGACAACAGTGACATACTACTATATAGGAAGTCCCTTGTTATGCTCCGCATTTCGGGCAAGTTAGGTCAGTGTCCCAGGATGCGACCCACACCAGTCGACTAACACCCAGGTACCCATTTTACTGATGGGGAACATAGACAACAGGTGGAAAGAAACACGTCCACTGTTTCTACTCTGGCTGGGAATCGAACCCAGGCCCTCGCCGTGTGAAGCCAGAGCGTTAACCACCAGGCCACCAGAGCCCCAATGGAGTGTTTGTTCACCGTGTGTATAGTGTATATAGTCTATACTCTATAGTGTACAGTGCATAGTATGTGCATGGTATGCGCATAGCATGTGTAGTGTATAGCGGTGTGTCGTTGATAGTGGGGGCTGTGCACAGAGCATAGTGGTGTATAGTGACTTGTCCTGGGAGGGAGTGAGTGCCCAACTCCGCCTCATCACACATCTTCCACTCCTCCCTTTCTTCCACCGCCCACCACAAGGACGGAACACCCCTCTCCTCCCCCTCCCACCACCATGAACCACATGCGGAATGTGCCATGCGCCATTTTCCCTTCAGCCTGGGCTTACCACACAGTTTGAGGTATGGCAGATGATGAAGCCAGCCAGCCACAAAGCCAGGGAAACAATGCACCCAACAATGAAAGAAGAGGCACATGTCAGGTGTGTGGAGAGTTTCGAGCACGCAACGGGGATGGCCGCATTCGTGCACACAATGGGTGTGCGGGATCACATATGCCCCCAGCAGAGAGCAGCCCACAGCCTCCACAGGCAGATGACAATTCCAATGGCAACCTCCTCACTTGCGATAACCTTCTGTTGGCATTCAAATCCACTGCTAACAGTACCCTATCCCACATCCCTAAAGTGGCTCGCCCATATGCAGTAGGGAAATTCACAGACCTTCTTAAGCGGGTGAATGGAGGTTCCACCAACTTAGAAGCCCAAGGCACCATCCAAGCATGGCGCAACCTGCTCCTGTTCGGCAATGTTTGTCTTGCAGTTCCTGAAAGACGAGGCAAACTGCTAACCACGTCAGTTATCAAGGCAGTGCACAACTACCCAAGAACGGACAACTGTGTCCCTCTGCCCCATCATCGCAGGAATCACAGAGGTAGACCCAAGAAAAGTCCCACTGAAAATGAGAAAATTTGCGCACAGGTTAGCAAAAAAGTAGAAGGTAACACAGTGGGAGCAATAAGAATAATTACAAGTGACTACACTGTAGCCCCCAAGGATAAGACCACGGCCCAAGCACTAAGAGACAAGCATCCAACTAGGGACACCATAGCCATCAACGACAACCCTGAGGAAGACCCAATCATTGAATAATTAATTTTGCCAGAATCGGAAGTCTATAAGGCGATCGTGTCATTTCCAGCAGGATCTGCAGGAGGTTACACTGGAATTCGACCTCAGCACCTCAAAGAGATGGTAAATCCAGTGCTCGGTGAATCTGCATCAATTCTTCTCACCGAGTTAACAACTTTCGTCAACAATTGCCTGGCTGGGCGAATCCCAGAAGAAATTAAACCTTTCTTTTTTGGAGCCTCACTATGTGCTTTGAAGAAGAGGGATGGGGGAATCAGACCCATTGCAGTTGGAAACACCCTTCGCCGTCTCGTTGCCAAAGCAGCAGTGAGAAACATTCGCATAGAAGCTGCCACTTTACTCTAGCCACACCAACTGGGCTTTGGGGTCTCTCAAGGCAGTGAAGCCGCAGCTCATGCAGCAAGGGCCTACACCAGGGACCTACCAGAAGACAAGGCCAGAGTCAAACTTGATTTTAGAAATGCCTTTGATATGGTGAAGAGAGATGCTGTTTTGCCAGCTGTTCGGGATCGGTTTCCCAGTCTTTTTCCCTTCATTTCAGCCGGCTACAGCAAACCCTCAATTCTTTTGTTTGGAGAACATGAAATTCAATCATCAGAGGGTGTTCAGCAGGGTGACCCACTCGCTCCACTTCTCTTCTGCTTGGCAGTAAGAGAACTAATTTCCAGCCTATGCAGTGAGCTCAATATCTGGTACCTGGATGACGGCACTCTGGCAGGTGCTGAAGAGTCCCTGGTAGGGGACCTACAACTGGTGAAAACACAGGGAGAAGGCTTGGGACTCATCTTCAATCCCTCCAAGTGTGAAATCATCACAGCGAACCAGGAAGTAATCAATGCTGTGCGAAGAATCCTCCCGGAAGTCTCAACTGCCACTCCATCCAACACTACCCTCTTGGGGGCACCGCTGGGTCACCAGGCCATCGACACTGTCCTCAGGGACAAATTGAATGACCTGATGAGAATGGAGGAGAGAATAAGCGATCTTGATGCCCATGATGCTCAGTATCTCCTCACAAAGTGTCTTACTATGCCAAGACTCACTTACTTCTTGAGGTGTGCACCCTCTTTTAACAACCCAACACTCGATGAATATGACACACACCTGAGATCAACTTTTAAGAAGGCACTGAACCTGTCACTAGAGGATGAGCAATGGGATCAGGCAACCCTCCCAGTGCGACTGGGAGGTATAGGGTGCGCAAAGCAATGCATGTTGCTTTACCTGCTTTTCTGTCTTCGTGTTTGGCTTCCAGTGCTTTAGTCAAGAAGATAGTGCCCGAACGCTTGAGAGACGTGGTAGGAGCTCAAGACCCCAGGTTTACTGAAGCAGCGATTCGGTGGGACACCCTTACAGACTCCTCCAGTAGACCAGCTCCTCCCAAACAGCACAAACAGTCCCACTGGGACAAACCAATCATGGAAAAAATTGCTAACACAATGCTCTCCAGTGCTTCAGGAAAGGACAAAGCTCATCTCCTGGCAGTGAAGGCACCACACTCAGGAGATTTCCTGTTAGCTGTTCCCAATTCCTCCCTGGGCACCCGTCTCGACCCACAGGCCATTCGGATTGGTGTTGCTCTTCGCCTAGCCGCCCCCATCCTCACCGAACATAGGTGTATTTGCGGCAGGGCGACAGCTGATCAATTCGGACTTCATGGTCTTGTGTGTCACTCAGCAGAAGGGAAATATGACAGGCATGAGGAGGTCAATGACATCATAAAGAGAAGCCTCGCCGCAGCCCGTTGCCCAGCTCAACGGGAACCCCAAATACAGAGGTCTGATGGAAGTCAAAAGCGTCCTGATGGAGCCACTATGCTACCCTGGAAGGATGCAAAGCAGATTGCCTGGGACTACACCTGTGCTGCCACATTGGCAGACACCTACTTGCCCTACTCCGTAGTGGAAGGGGGTGGAGCCGCCAGCCACAGGGAGACCCAGAAGATCCGAAAATATGAAGACCTTCCCCCTTGCTATAACTTCATTCCAATAGGGTCGGAGACCCTTGGAGCATTGGGCAAGTGTGCTCTAAAGTTCCTCAAAGAGCTGGGTGAAAAACTCATCATAGAAACCAAGTATCACAGGGCGACCAGCTTTCTCTTTCAGAAATTCAGTGTTGCGATAGAGAGAGGAAATGCCTGCAGCATTCTGGGCACGCGGCACACCGCCGGAGAGCTGGACGAAGTATTCGAGATGTAGCTCTGAGTTACCTATGTTGCTTTACTTTCTGTTGTATTTTTTTGAATGTTTGGCCAATTTATTTTTGTCTTTAAATAAAACATAATTGAAATATAGGGGGTGGTAGGAGAAAATTCTCAAACAGCTTCAGGGAGAACCTTGAGTTTTCCCTGAAGCAAGTTTATTCTTTTCTCTGAGGATGAGGGTCCCTATTACAGTTCTAGAGGTGGTACCTCCCTAAAATTTATATATATAAATATATATATATTATATATAATATATATATATATAATATATATATATATATATATATATATATATATATATATAATATATATATATATATATATATATATATATATATATATATATATATATATGTCGTGCTGAATAGGCAGAACTTGCGATCTTGGTTTAAATAGCAACGTTCATCTTGCCATATAGGACAAGCGACGTCGGACGTAGCTGTGCTGAGACTGAGGCTCGACAACCGTGTAGACCAGTGTGGCTGAGATGTTACTATCTGCTTTCTGTTTACTAGTGTTAGAAAAGCCTAAAAGGACCTTCTTAATAATAACTTCTTAACTGCTATTCTGTAAACTAAATTTTATCTCTTTTTCCAGTAACTTGAGTACGTGTTTATTGTCTGTGTGGATAACACAAACACTGTATATCAACGATACACAATACCACAAAGATGTTTAACTAGACACATGTGTAACACCTGTTTATGTTCACTATGTAGACGTCAGCACAGTATATATATACCCAGATATTACACATGTTACAAATTTATTCCCTTCTGTTTGTGGTCTTTCGACATGGTCAATAAACTTCAAGTTATTCCTACATATTTCATGAAATAGTGTACACATAATTCCAAATTAACAACACACACTTTAAAAAAATTAGACAACGTGAAAGCTGTGACACTTCAGTTTAAAGCTTTAATACATTTTCCCCTGTTTTGCTGTTGTCATCAGAATCTCCAGGATGAAAATGAGTCCAGATAAGAGGAGTCCTAGCAGGAGGAGCATGAAGGCTCCCTGAAGGTGTTCGATGGTGAGACTCCCGATGTTGCTGTTTGAGTCGAAGTCCTCCTTTCTCTCTTGTTTCTGCTCTTGTTGTTGCTGCTGAAGCAGATTTCGCTTTTTTCTGCGGCTCTCTACCTGGGCTTCTGTTAACAGATCCTTACTCCATTTCTCGTATAGGCCGGCCTGTTGAGAATGTCTAACTCATCATGATAGTCTTCACATAACTCATGTATGTAATTATTACACGGTTTCAGAACTCTCCTTTGATGATAATAAACTTAAATCTACTAGTACTACTATTAATAATAATAATAATGCAATCTTGATATGAATGATGACTAGGAGATATATACTGAAGTTACTTAAATTACTAAAGATCATTTTCTCTTCTGAGGATCAAACTTAATTGCCTTACATTCCCTCAAGTATTGGCGAGTCTTGAGCTTCCCCAGTTATAACAACAAGTGGATATCTCAAGCATGTTTTAGTCACAAATTTTCTGATGTCGCAACTCAGGTGATCAAAAGTGTTACTTTTATTATACTGACCTCAATGACAGCCATGAGGCAGCGATCAAGCATGGGTCTGTAAGGAGCGTCGTGAGGTATTGGCCAAGCTGCTTGTCCAGGAAGGACGCTCTCCCTTCCAATATACAGTTTTGAGCTTCCGTCAGCCCGAGTGAACAGTTCAGCTATCCTAAGCTGTTGGTAGCGACGGTTTTCTAGATGTGCCTGTCTGATTCATGTATTTAAATGTAAGATTAGGTTTTGCCACAGTAGTGGCTAGTTTATTGTGCATTCCATATCCATCCTTTGGACGGTAGCGCAAGAGCATATGGATACACGAAAGGCCTAGGAACTAGGCCCCAAAAGTACATCTGGATTTATATTTAGTTCATTTATCTGTTACAAGCAAATGGAATCATATAAAACTATATAATAATCAAACTTAAGGACTGGAAGGGTGGAACTAAAGTGTAATTAACAATCGTCAATGTTCAGTAATAAACAACATGGAGACAGAAACTGAGAAGATTAATTGATCTGTATATGTCATCTCACCCACCCACTGCTTCAACAAACACAATGATTTCTTCTCCACCATAGGAAAAAACCTGGCGGAAAAAATCCCAAGCTCACACACCCCACCTAATGACTACCTCACTGGCACCTTGCCACTAGGACCAGCTTGAGAGTCTCTGAACCCCTGTTGCACAAAAGAGCTGTCCAGATAACTCTGTTTCTCATGTACTGCCCTTTAACATATCTCCCGATGCGCCACGGAACACGCAGAGAACTGCAACCTTCCCTATATATTAATGTTCTTATTTCACTTACGTATCGTATCTGCTGAAGAGAATCCTATAAGGAGATCGAGATATACAGACCAATTAATCTCCCTGTTATTACTGAGCACTGGAAGGGTGTTATAAACATTAATATAATTGGTACTATCCTCTCCTTAGATAACTGTTAATACTTATATTCTAGACAACGTACGACCACTGAAGATAATAAGAAAAATCACAATACCGTGACTGAAACATCACACAAATAACCCGCACATAGAAAAAACTTATGTCGATGTTTCTGTCCAACTTGGATCATTATCTAGTCCTATAATATAATTTTGTATGAAATACGGAGTGAGTTACAGATTAGGTGAGGAAAAAACCGTAGGTGGCAAAACTAGGAACGATAACTATAGTTTAAAAAAGCTGTGAGGTATTATCTTCGTAAACTAAAGGAGAAGAATGGTGGCAGTGGAGACATTTTTGAGTTTATTATATATTCAAAATTTTTTACAGCAAATCATTGTAGAAACTGGAAGATGGAGAGATAGCATGAATGGTGCAATTGGAAGAGTGGAGGGAACATAAAGATCGTCTGCGTGTTTTACAGGATTGAAATTCTTGCGACTCCATGGTAAAAGTAAGGATTTGTAAGGTCTCAGGAAGGAGGGAAGGAAGGATGTGAAGGAGGATTTGAGAAGTGGGATCCTTCAAGGTAGGTGCCTCATAAACCATACCACGGGCGGGGATATAACCCGCGGTCAGAGTGTCACAAAACTCCAGACCAACGCGTTAGCCACTGGACCAGCTAGCCACAATAAGATTCGTCCAGCTATGTATATTTCTACACCATAGGAAGGTTAGCATAGGCCACCACTGTGACCACAAATGCAAGTTTTTACAGACGAATCTCCAGCTAGCGTGGCCGTGACGAACTCTAGCTCAAGTCCCCACAAAGCCGCTAACATGACTCACGAAATCGTAATGACACGATTGCAAACAAACCATACCACGGGTGGGGATAGAACCTGGAGTTTTGAGACTCTCTGATCGCGGGTTCTATCCCCGCCCGTGGTATGTAGATGAATGGTTCAGAGAACCGACATGTTGATAAATTAGACACATGTGCAACTCTTGGGTATCTTTATTGAGGAAACGTTTCGCCACGCAGTGACTTCAACAGTCCAAACGTAGGAGAAACTTGAAGAACAGTCGTGTCATTACGATTTCGTGAGTCATGTTAGGTGCCTCATATAATATCATTGTAATATGCTCAGTAATAACCCAGATGGAGACCCCCGGCTGGGGTCCTCTTCAGCAGATTGTAACGTGTTTCTTATTAAGAGCACAAAAATCTAGGAGACTAATATTCCTGGTATAAATTAATTGAGATTAATAGTATAGTTGGTATTGTAATGTTAAGGAATGAACCAGACAGGTTAGGTTAGGTAAGGTTCGTCAGGAAACAGGACAAATGTTTCCTGACGCGGGTCTTAGTCAGATGATGACCCGCCTTTGGAGCTTTAGGTCATCTGACCGAGGCCTTCCGCTGGCTTACCGGTCCACCCCTTTAAAAATTATGGTCATTTATAACCAGTCTGTCTATGAACCAGACATTGCTACTGAAATATTACTAAGTATATTGAATTACATAACATAGATGTATATTAAGTTAAGTTGTCTTACGTACAAGAACTGCATTACTGTAGAAAAAGTTCGTACAGGGTTGAATATGCTTTTGTTATTGTCTATTCCATCTCCCTTTTGCCACCTGATATTCTCGCTTCCTTCCTGCCCTGCAGCGCTGTATAGCCCTTGTGGTTTAGCGCTTCTTTTTGATTATAATGGTTTAGAAAGACACGTAAGCAAACACTAAAACATATTTATTAGAAAACGTTTCAGTCCTGGGACCTTGATCACTTCTCACCTTGTTTGCTATCTCCCCAGATAAGAACTACAGCAGTCTTACTGAGCTAGGCTTAAGAATTAATAGCTGGGCGTCTACACAGTAAACTGAGATATTTCTCATCCACTAAAGATATCTTATTTCACCGCGTTTGACTCTTCGGTTATTTCTGATTCTGTGTCATGATTGAAGGTACTGGATTCACGTATGATTCTGACAGGAAGCTCACTGGAGAAGCCAGGTCTAGATACTCAAAAATCAGATTGTTCAGTCCCCGGCACGGGTGGAAATGTTGAACATGTTTCCCTGTACCTGCTGTCCCTGGTCACCTAGCAGTCAGTAGGTACTTATATGTTAGTCGACTGGTGTGGGTGGCATCCTGGGGGACAATATTGAAAGACCGTAGAGGAAATAAGGCAGACAGCCCTCGATGACGCTCTGATTTTCTTGGGGTATCCTGGGTGGTTAACTCTCAGGGTTAAAAATCCAAATAAAACTTATCTTAAAGGGACTGCCATAAGAATGCAGTAAGAAGTCTGAGTAGATCTATAACTCACTATAAATACTTAAATGTAAATTATTGTACTTATGGAGCAATTTGCAACGTGGATGATAAATTAGACACATGTGCAACTCTTGGGAATCTTTATTGAGGAAACGTTTCGCCACACAGTGGCCTCATCAGTTTCCTCAATAAAGATACCCAAGAGTTGCACATGTGTCTAATTTAACAACATGTCGGTTCTTTGAACCATTCATGTACAAACGTGAACGATCTTATGTTTTAGTAGCCAGTCTTAGGCTTGGTTATAAGTACTTCTGGCAGATATCTTTGCTTAAACTTAACTTTCAGTTAATCCAGCATACCACACAGACAGTGATAAAACTTAATGAAAATTATGTAGTCAGTCTTTCGGTCACTTTCTTAAATATTATGTGTTTGCTTGTCGATTTATTTAGGAATAATCAATGGCATTCACTCAATCACTGCCTTGCCACACGTGCGCTGAAACAGGTCAGATGATGTTCCAACCTGGCAATATAACACAAATGCAGTATAATGTGATCCTTTATTGACTACGTTTCGCCCACACAGTGGGCTTTTTCAAGTCTGTGACCCCAGGTAGTTCTGTTTGTGACTTGAAAAAGCCCACTGTGTGGGCGAAACGTAGTCAATAAAGGATCACATTATACTGCATTTGTGTTTATATTGCCATTGTGTCGGTATTTTATACCATTTATTTCCATGTTCCAACCTACAAAGATCCACACTCCTCCTTCAGAGTGCAGTCACTGTGCTTTCTACCTCCAGTATTCAAGTTCGTCCAACCAGTTCCCCCTGAATTCCTTCATAAATGTTATCTTGTTCACACTCCAGAAAGAACTTCCAGTCAAATAAATATTTGTTTCGACTCACTTTTAACTAACATGCTTACACAAGCCTGTTGGATGTCCAAACCTCTAACACTAAAACCTCCTTTGCCCTCCATACAAGCTTTTCTCTCCACCCAAGATTTATAAGAACATAAGAAAGAAGGAACACTGCAACAGGCCTAATGACCCATGCGGAACAGGTCCATGTCCCCCCCCCCCCGGATTAGCCCAATGACCCACCCAGTCTGGTCACCTCCACTCAAGGATGGAGCACGGCACCAGGCCCAGCAGCACAAGCTAGTCAGGTCCAACTCACACCCACCCACACCCACTCATGCATTTATCTAACCTATTTTTAAAACTACACAACGTTTTAGCCTCAATAACTGTACTCGGGAGTTTGTTCCACTCATCCACAACTCTATTACCAAACCAGTACTTTCCTATATCCTTCCTGAATCTGAATTTTTCCAACTTGAAACCATTGCTTCGAATCCTGTCTTGGCTGGAAATTTTCAGCACGCTATTTACATCCCCTTTATTTATTCCTGTTTTCCATTTATACACCTCGATCATATCCCCCCTAATTCTTTCCTAGTCTAAATGTTTAAACCACTTTAACAACCCTCCTCCTCAGCCCTCTGGATTATACTTTTATTTTCCTAGCACCTTCCCTAATCCCGAACCTCCGAATTCTCTACATAATATTTACCTCACACATTGCAATCAAACGTGGCATCCCCATCTGCAGCTTCCTACTCCTCCTCGCTGCAACGTCTGAAACCCATGTTTCATACCCATGAGTGTTGATACCATTGTACTCCGATACATTTCTTCTTTTTGCCTCCATAAATAAAATATTGTTACACAGATGCCTCAATGCATCGCCCACCTCTCTCTTTCTCTCATAAAACATCCGCTGACAAGTTCACTTCCAAATCATACCACGGGCGGGATAGAACCCGCGGTCAGAGAGTCTCAAAACTCCAGACCGTCGTGTTAGCCACTGGACCAGCTAGCTACAATAAGATTCATCCAACTAGGTATATTTCTACACCATAGGAAGGTTAACATAAGCACCACTGTGACCACAAATGCAAATTTTACAGACGAATCTCCAGCTAGCGTGGCCGTGACGAACTCTAGCTCAAGTTCCCTCAAAGCCGTTAACATGACTCACGAAATCGTAATGACACGATTGCAAACAAACCATACCACGGGTGGGGATAGAACCTGGAGTTTTGAGACTCTCTGATCGCGGGTTCTATCCCCGCCCGTGGTATGATTTGTTTGCATTCGTGTCATTACGATTTCGTGAGTCATGTTCACTTCCAAATATCTGAACTCGTACTTCCTCTGTACTCCTTCCTTTCAATCTCTCATTGCCTATTTTTCTTTCTGTTATTTCATCACCTTGCTCTCTCCTATGCCCACTTTTAATTTCCATCTTTTATATACCCTCCCAAAATATTTTTCAATTCTTGCAACTTCTCTTCAGAATCTCCCAAAAGCAGAGAGTCATCGGCAAAGAGCAACTGTGATAATTCCCACTTTGTATTAGAATTATTATTGTAATTCCTCTTCCCAACATCACACATTCCTGGAATGGAAAAAACATCTCCCTCTCTCCTACATGCTCTAACCTTAGCCTCTCTTTCCTCATTAAAACTTTTCTGCTTCTAGTAGTCTAACATCTGTTTCATACATTTCCAAAATCAGCCTTTTCTAAATCTAATAAAAATATGGTGGATAGTACCTATACCTCATCTAATGGCTCTATGCCATTGTTCTTAACTCCGCATGGTGATATGCCTCTTCTAATTCCCTTCAAATCCTGAACTCTAATGTTTAACTGCATTATATCAACTTATGCCGCACTCTGCACTACTTCAGTCGCGCACAATAAGGGACAAGGGACTGAGGTTATGGAACACGGTGATACCTGCCTATGATCGTCCAGTTACAGAATTTTTTCTTGCTTGACTGCGATGAAAATTACTATTTTTGAGGTATTTCAAAGCGCTCTTCATCAGTGGAACTATTGCTTCTCTCCTCTCCTCGGATCAAACCTGAATATCTCCTATTGCCCAAGTGCAGTATGACCCATACTGATTTAACCCTTTTCTACTGAATATAAAACAAGTTGATTATACCTTCGAGTAATTGAACCCGGATCTTACTTCCTGTCGATGGCTTCTTGTAGTCCGATCTCCACTGAGGGAACAATGTGGATCAGCTCCGCCAGTCTCTGGAACACTTGTGAGCCAGACTTAAGGAAGAAATTCCTGAACTCTGCTCCGTATGGTGGCATCGTTATTCTGTAAGAAAACAACATTGTTATTTTAAGATTTTTTTTTGTCATGAGTTATTATATATTTTAAACTGAGGCTTCTTGAAATTTTAAATTTGGCTCACGGACCCTCAGTACTACCTTTGTCGACCCCCAGGGGTCCGCTTTGTAGACCCCCAGGGGTCCGCTTCGTGGACCCCCAGGGGTCCGCTTCGTGGAGCCTCAGGGGTAAGCTTTGTAGACCCCCAGGGGTCCGCTTCGTGGATCCCCAGGGGTCCGCGGACCACACGTTGAGAACCACTGCTGTAAAACAATGGCAAGAAATAACGGGATGAGGTAAACAGAATCTTAAATGGAAAACACAGCTAGTGATTCAGTGTAGTCGCTATGGGCTCACAGTAGATGGACCCGGGATCAACTCTGGGGCAGCTGGGGTAGTTAGACATTTCCCCCACCCCTTACTGGCAGTCCCCATTTTCCTAGCAGCAGATAGGTACCTGGTTGCTAGTAACATGTTGTGAGGTTGCATCCTGGGGAGAGAGACTACAACACAAGTTGGTTGTCTCGTGTAAGACACACATCCAACAGTTGGTATCTATATTGTTGGCACTTTCCGCCTACGTGGTAGGCATCTTCAGTCAAATAAAGAGAATGGATTAAAGGCAGCAGAAGTGAAGAGGTAAAGGTAAGGTAATCAGTCCATTAAATTTGTAGAAATAGTTTGAGGTTACACAAATAACCCGCACATAAAAGACAGAAGCTTACGACGACGTTTCGGTCCGACTTGGACCATTGACAAAGTCACACTGTATCGTTCTAGTCACGGTATTGTGCCTTTTTGTTATTTAGTTTGAGGTTGTCAGTCCCTCAGCATTTACGGTGCTCATCAGTTACTCCTAAGGGACTGATCACCTCGTCTTTTGTATATACTTCTACAGGTTAGGTAAGGTTCGTCAGGAACATGACAAGTGTTTCCTGACGCGAGTCTTAGTCGTATGATGACCCGCCTTTGGAGCTATTGGTCATCTGACCGAGGCCTTCCGCTGGCTTACCGGTCCACTCCTGTAAAAATTATGGTCATATATAACCATGTAATATATATACTTATACAGTCTTCACATTATGGCCTTGTATTTATAAAAGCCACTGGAGGGCGAAACATCTACTAATTAAAGACACCCAGATGTTGCACATGTGTCTAATTCTTGTCGGTAATGTATATCATTTATATACATCCATGTATATATTACTTGATTAGTATTGAAGATTGAGACACTTAAGCAACATATGGTAACCTTTATTCAGGAAACGTTTCGCCTTTCTACTTTATATTGGACTGATGAAGCCACTGTGTGGCGAAACGTTTCCTGAATAAAGATTCCCATATGTTTCTTAAGTGTCTCAGTCTTCAACATGTCGGTTTTTCAAACCATTCATCACAACTGATTAGTATTGCCAGCAATTATAAGAAGGTATTCTTAATCTGAGTGATAATCAGGATAACCCAGGTAAGATAATCAGGATAACCCAGGTAAGATAATCAGGATAACCCAGGTAAGATAATCAGGATAACCCAGGTAAGATAATCAGGATAATCCAGGTAAGATAATCAGGATAACCCAGGTAAGATAATCAGGATAGCCCAGGTAAGATAATCAGGATAACCCAGGTAAGATAATCAGGATAACCCAGGTAAGATAATCAGGATAACCCAGGTAAGTGGTTCATTTTGATTGAAGATTATAGGCCTCTTATGTCGAGACTTGCTCAAGCGTCTCCTCCTGCGCCAGAACTAAATTCACAAACAGTGTTGGTAGGTAAGACACGTAGGCGACAGTTAGGCAACTTTATTCCGAAACGTTTCGCCTACACAGTAGGCTTCTTCAGTCGAATATAGAAAATAGGCAGGAACAGTAGAGATGTGAAGACGATGTAATCAGTCCATCATCCTTGAAGTCGTCTTCACATCTCTACTGTTCCTGCCTATTTTCTGTATTCGACTGAAGAAGCCTACTGTATAGGCGAAACGTTTCGGAATAGAGTTGCCTAACTGTTGCCTATGTGTCTTACCTACCAACCTGTCGGTATTGTATACCGTTCATGAACATTGGAGAACCGTGGGCAGGGTGTGCCCATACTGGTATAAACATTGGTAATAAATACCGACAAGTTGGTTTAGAAAGACACGTAAGCAAACACTATAACATATTTATTAGAAAACGTTTCGGTCCTGGGACCTTGATCACTTCCTTGATCAAGGTCCCAGGACTGAAACGTTTTCTAATAAATATGTTATAGTGTTTGCTTACGTGTCTCTCTAAACCAATGTGCCCATACTACCTAATTGTACGACTTACGACTGTATGACGTACACTTACGACACAGTAACATCCTACCTACGGTTTGCCCCAACTTCCGCGTCCTTTCTACTATGAGCTTAGGGCCTTTTCACTGAGTCAAAATTTACGTACCTCAATTCTAATTATAAAATCAGGGAATCATAATCTTACATAATAATTTCGTTCTTTCTAGCTAACGAAAGAGTTGCTTCAATTATTTATTTAGTCTACAAATGACAAAATATTTCTACAGAGATGAGTGATAATTTGGTAGTGTTCTTTAAAGTTTATATCTATTCAGAGCGTTTGTAATGTATAGGAATATTGTATTTAATATTTGTTCGTCCAGCTGGTTGACATTTCTAAGCGGAGATGTGTGCATTAGTAAGTTGTGGAGCTCCTGTAATATTATTTTTTAATCATTCATCTACAGTACATTAAACATGGAGACTGAAAAAAAACATACTGCGGGTGGGGTTGGAACCCACGATCAGAGAGTCTCAAAACTCCAGACCGTCGCGTTAGCCACTGGGTCAGCTGCCCTAGTGGCTAACGCGTCAGTCTGGAGTTTTGAGACTTTGATCGCGGGTTCTAACACCACCTGTGGTATGGTTTGTTTGCAATCGTGTCATTACGATTTTGTGAGTCATGGAGACAAACTCAGGAGATTAATTAATCTGTATATTTCGATACCCTTCTGGGATTCTCTTCAGCAGGTTCACAAGTGAAAGGAGGTCACGAATTTTATGGAAAGTTTCGCCTCTCACCGTGTGGAAGGGGAAAGGAGGTGTCAACACTCCCTGCCACCGTGCACGGTGATACCAGCAACTTACACTTGGGTATCTGCTGAAGGGGATTCCAGCAGAGGGTCGAAATATAAAGATCAGTTACTCTTCTGACTTTCTATCTCCATGTGGGTTATTATTGAGCATTGACAAGCGTTCGTTACGCTGTAGTTACACTTATTTGTGTGGAAAAAGACACTTATGTACAGTTCAGGACATTTATTAAAGGAAACGTTTCGCCACGAGTGACTTCTTCAAGAGGATATTACCCATCCTGGAAACTGGTGTTACTTGATGCCAGCAGGTCCCTCTCTAGCCTCACCTCCTTAGTTCCATTGCTACTACTACTACTACTGCTACTACTACTACTACTACTACTACTACTACTACTACTACTACTACTACCACCTCTACCCACGCGTCACCTCACCTGACTCCTGCCACTATACATACATATGTTTTCTTAGTTTTCTCTGTATTAGGACTGAAGAAGTCACTCGTGGCGAAACGTTTCCTTTAATAAATGTTCTGAACTGTACATAAGTGTCTTTTTCCACGTCTTGTCGGTATCATCATACCATTTCCTCACACTTATTTGTACTAAGTATTAAGATGCGATTGCAAGGTTTGTAGTACCTTTCTGCAGTAGTGACAAGTTGCTGGAGTGTCTCAGCACGTGGTGGGTACTTGGGCAGTGAGAGGAAGGCTGTCAGGTTGCCACGGTAAGCTGTCGTGATAATAAGACCGAATATCAGCCACACCGCCACCAGTACACGACTGGAACAGGTCTTGGGCAGCCGTCGTGGCAGATTCTGACCCAGCAGCATCCCTGTCAGGTGGTGGACCACGACAACAGTGTCTGTTCTAGCTACGTCCTTCCTTTGCTCACTTACACGAATAATCTGAAAGTAAAAAAAAAAAACATAAGAACATAAGAACATAAGAACGAAGGAACACTGCAGAAGGCCTACTGGCCCATGCGAGGCAGGTCCAAGTCTCCTACCGGCTTAAGCCAATGCACCCAACCTAGTCAGGTCAGGTCACATTGACTTAAGGGAGGAACACGGCAACCGACCTGTTAGCACAAGCTATCAGGTCTAACTCACACCCACCCACATCTACTCATGTATTTATCCAACCTATTTTTAAAGCTACATAACGTTCTGGCCTCTATAACGGTACTTGGGAGTTTGTTCCACTCATCCACAACTCTATTACCAAACCAGTACTTTCCTATATCCTTCCTGAATCTGAATTTTTCCAACTTAAAACCATTGCTGCGAGTCCTGTCTAGGCTAGGTATTTTCAGCACACTATTTACATCCCCTTTATTTATTCCTGTCTTCCACTTATACACCTCAATCATATCCCCCCTAATTCTACGTCTTTCTAGAGAGTGCATTTTCAGGGCCCTTAGTCTATCCTCATAGGGAAGGTTTCTGATACATGGGATCATCTTTGTCATCCTCCTTTGTACATTTCCAGAGATTTATATCCATTCTGTAATACGGTGACCAAAATTGTGCAGCATAATCTAAATGAGGCCTAACCAAGGATGTATGGGTTGAGAACAACCTGAGGACTCTATTATTTATGCTTCTTGATATGAAGCCAAGGATTCTATTAGCTTTATTGCGAACAACTTATGCGCTGTTGTCTTGGTTTCAGATTACTGCTAACCAGAACTCCTAAATTTTTTTTCGCAATCCGTAATATTAAAGATCTACTTATTTAGTTTATATGTGGCATGGTTATTGTCCGTCCAACATTTAGAACTTTGCATTTGTCTAAAATTAAACTGCATCTGCCACTTTCCGACCACTGCATCAGTCTATTCAAATCTTCCGGGAGTGCTCGAATGTCCTCGTCAAAATTGAATTCGACGGCCTATTTTGGTGTCATCGGCAAACTTGCCGATTCGCTCTTTATGCCCTCATCTATGTCGTTTATGTAGATTGTGAACAGCAGGGGGCCCAACACTGACCCCTGTGGAACACCGCTCGTGACGTACCCCACTCTGATTTTCTCCCCATTTATGCAAACTCTCTGCTGCCTATTGTCAACCATGCCTCTATCCAGGAAAAAATTTCTCCCCTATTCCATGTGCTTTAATTTTTCCTCAATAGTCTCTGATGTGGGACCCTGTCAAAAGCCTTACTGAAGTCCATATACACAATATCATATTCTTTTACCATGATCTACCTCCTCAAATCCCTTAGTGAAAAAAGTTAATAAATTTCGTAAGGCAGGAACGCCCCTTTGTAAAACCATGCTGAGATTCGTTGATTAATTATGCTTTCAAGGTGGCTACGAACTGCCTCGGCAATTTTTGTTTCCCATAAATTTTCCACTATGGAGGTTGGCTTTTTGGGGTCTATAGTTCGAAGCAAGGACCTGTCACCTGTTTTGAAAATAGGTATCACATTTGCCATTTTCCCACTTATCTGGCACCATGCCAGTTTGTAGTGATTTGTTGAAAAGATTAGCCAAAGGTGTGCTAAGCTCCTCTTTACTTTCCTTTAGAACCCTTGCATACAGTTCATCAGGGCCTGGGGATTTGTTAGGTTTAATTTATCTATTTGCCAAGGGGACCAGTCACTTGTGACCTAATAGTGAAAGTTTATTATCGTCCTGTTCTACATAATTTATCATTACTGGAATATCGCTGGTATCCTCCTGTGTAAAAACTGAGAGAAGTATGTGTTAAAAAATTTCTACACATTTCCTTATCACTGTCAGTGAGCTGACCCGGGGGGAACTTTGAGTGGGCCTATCTTGTCCCTGATCTTACTTCTGTATACCTGGAAAAAAATCCTTTTTTGGGGTTTGTCTTCGATTCTCTTGCAACTTTAACCTCATAATCTCTTTTTGCTTTTTTTAATTCCCTTTTTTATTTCTCTCCCTTTTTTCTGAAAATATCGATTTCTTAATTGCCCCTCTCCTCTTTTGATTTGCCTATATATGCCTCTCTTTTGACAATCAGATATTTTAATCTATTGTTCATCCATTTAGGATCATTTTTGTTTGATCTGATTTCCCTATTTGGAACATAATTTGTCTGAGCAGCTAGAACTATGCCCTGGAAAGCATCATATCGGCACCTCACCACCTACCTGACCCTTAGTCAGGTCCTTCCAGTTCAGCCCAAACCCAAGTAATTTTTCAGTCCTATGAAATCAGCCAGCGAAAGTCAGGGACGGAGGGCTTGATTGCCATTATTAGGGGAATTCCCTGATATATTAAACTGAGTGATTTGTGATCACTCTCCCCAAGCTCATCATTAAAACCCCAAGATTATTAATAGTGTTTTCCTACTGCAAGAACCAAGTCAAGGAGGTTATTTCCCCTAGTTGGCTCTGTCACAAACTGTTTTAAAAAACAATCCTGGATCGTATCAAGAAAGTCACCCGACTCTAAATTTCCTGTCAAAATTGCCCCCGTCAATCTGTCTATAGTTGAAATCTCCCATTAGCACAACATTTTCGTATGTGAGCCTTACGAATTTCGTCCCATAGAAGTTTTACTGCACTCCCTATCAAGATTTGGGGCCCTGTAAATCACACCCAAAATTAGTTTTTTCTGGGCCCCTCGAGAAGCTGTAACCAAACAGATTCAGTGGCTGACGCTTCTAATTTAATATCTTGTCTAACACAACAATTTAAATTGTCTCTGACATACATCGCTACTCCACCACCCTTCCTGTTGACCCTGTCATTTGTGGAATAATTTATAGCCTTGTATGTGACATTCAGAGGGCATCTCTCTATCTTTCAGATTGAGCCAGGTCTTTGTTATAGCAATAATATCTATGTTTCCTGCACTTGCAATTAATCTTAGCTCATCTATCTTATTTCTAACACTCCTGCTATTAGTATAGTAAACCTTAAGGGAGCTAGTCCCTTGCTGCCCTCTGCTGTCCCCCTTTGTTTGCTGACCTGTTCTGTTGTCTTTATTTATAACTTCATGCTGAATGCCTTTTATACATTTACTGTTTCCAACCCTAGTGTTGCAACCTGCTTGTTTCCCACACACACCTCAGTTTAAAATCATAGGCATTTCACCAATGGCCTTCTCAATCGAGTCTGCAAGTGCTACCACCCCTGCCCCAGAGAGATGTACCCCATCCCTTGCATACATATCATGTTTGCCATAAAAGTTGTTCCAGTTGTCAATGAATGGGATTGCAAGTTCCTTGCAGTATCTGTCTAGCCAGCAATTTACACCAATTGCCCTAGACAACCATTCATTTCCTACTCCCCTTCTAGGCAAGATGCTACATATGATTGGGATCCCTCCCTTAGACTTAATGAAATCTATAGCTGACCTGTACTTATCTAGCAGCTCTTCTCTCCTACCCTTCCCAATATCATTTCCACCAGCACTGAGACAGATAATGGGCTTGTTCCCATTACCTGACATGATATTATCCAGCCTGTTGACAATGTCCCCAACACCAGCTCCAGGGAAGCACACTCTATCTCTCATCTTCTTATTCCTATTACAAAAAGCACGGTCAATATATCTTACCTGAGAGTCACCAACCACAAGAATGCGCTTACCTTCATTAGCAGGGGCAGTAGTACCCTTACCTTCACTGGCCACTGAAGTACATTCATCCTGGAGAACAGAGAATGGAGGAACACTGCAGAAGGCCTACTGAAACCTATTTTACATTTTAAAAAGCGGAAGATGAAGAATCTGCTTTTCTTTCCCTCTAAGCTCAATGGTTTATCAAAAAATCGTATAACGTAACCCCTAGATGTTGAAAACGACACTAATAGTACAATTCAGGACATTTATTACAGGAAACGTTTCGCCACGAGTGACTTCCTTAATCATGGAGAATAATAGATGTCCCGAGCTGTACATTAGTATCTTTTTCCACATCAGTGGCTCATTGCTGGGATTATAGACGATAAAATCCACCATCGTTTCCACTTCGAGATGGAGAGAATGAACATTTCTCTTTACACCTACTTCCCCTTCTCACCTAACAGTAAACAGGTACCTGGGTGTTAGTAAAGTGTAAATGGTCGCATCTTACTATTAACCCTCATAGAGAAAGTTAGTTTGAGTTGCAATGAAAAAATTGAGGAACGATATGTGTACGATGGTCGGTGCTCGTGGGTAGGCCTTAGCCAGCCATCGATGCGATATTTTGCCAATAATAATAATAATAATAATAATAATAATAATAATAATAATAATAATAATAATAATAATAATAATAATAATAATAATAATAATAATAATATCTTTATTACTACCAGTTTATGTACAAGGTATACAAGTACATGTACAAGGTATACAAGTACATGTACAAGGTATACCAGTACATGTACAAGGTATACAAGTACATGTACAAGGTATACAAGTACATGTACAAGGTATACAAGTACATGTACAAGGTATACAAGTACATGTACAAGGTATACAAGTACATGTACAAGGTATACAAGTACATGTACAAGGTATACAAGTACATGCACAAGGTATACAAGTACATGTACAAGGTATACAAGTACATGTACAAGGTATACAAGTACATGTACAAGGTATACAAGTACATGTACAAGGTATACAAGTACATGTACAAGGTATACAAGTACATGTACAAGGTATACAAGTACATGTACAAGGTATACAAGTACATGTACAAGGTATACAGACCATAGCTGACATCAGTGACATACTACTATACAGAAAGCCGCTTGTTATGCTGAGCATTTCCCGCAAATTAGGTCAGTTTTGTCCCAGGATGCGACCCACACCAGTCCACTAACACCCAGGATGTGACCCACACCAGTCCACTAACACCCAAGATGTGACCCATACCAGTCCACTAACACCCAGGATGTGTCCCACACCAGTCCACTAACACCCAGGATGTGACCCACACCAG